CTGGAGGTGAGGTAATTCTTGAATCAAACTAGAAGCCAGGAATTGAATAATCAGAGCTTCAACCTGTAAGTCTCTTTTTATGAACCTTGTAACCTGGCTTTTCAAAGGCCACACTGATTTGCAAGATCAAGTCATGTGTAAGCTTGTAAGGCACTAATTATTCCCAGAAATCACACTTGGCACTGAACATAAATCAGCATCCTTCTTCACTATGCCTGATTTATCTGTTCACTAGAGAGCTACAATAGAAATGTCTCCAAAAATAAGATTACAAATAAAGTCACAACAAGATATATAATTGAGCTGAAAAGGAGAAGCATCTCATTCCTAAGCTTCAGAAAGAGGCTCATGGCACAGTGTCAGTGAAATCCATGTGAATTCTATCATCAAGCTGAGAAGTACAGTATTTTTTTTCTTTCTTTTTTTTTAGGGTTTGGAAAGATGGTGAATTGTTGCAGTGGAAATTTTGAAAAGCTAAATCCTTTAGGTACTTAAGTAATACACCAGAATTTCCCTTTATTTACATAGCTTTCCTCTGGTGAGTTCTCAAAATTATTTATATTTTACAGGCTTTAAAAAACCCTCCTAAGTCTAAATGGAAGTCCATTAACAAAGGCCATCTTATCATCACTCAAAAACCATCTAAAGGTTGACTGGGACAATACATTCGCATCTGGTCTCATAGCGAGAGCCAGCAGACACTTCCAAGAATGTTTATCCTAACTTTTAAAAAGTAAACATGATCTTATCATTTTAAATAAACATTCATTGAATGCACAGGCAGGAAGAAAGTTATAATAAACCTCACTTCCGTGACCCCATTAGTTACTCCTTATCTTTCCCAGTGGTTGAACTCCAGCCAGTTAACAGGGTTAAAAAAAATTATTTTGTGTCCAAGACAACAGAAATGACCCCAAAACTTCAGGCTTCAGTGTGCACACTCTGTAGAAAGCCAAGCTCTGCCCGTGCATTCCCATCTTCTGAACATTTCTATCTGTGGTACTGAGCTTTTAATGATAAGTTTCTACTGTAACTGTAGTTTCCCTATGACACTCTTAAATAACATCACTGCTTTGACATAAATAGAAACAAGCCATGTCTGACTTTGACAAAGCTGAAATCAGACCAGAACTTTATGCACTTTATCCCCTTCTAAGAGAGTAGGTAGCAGAAGGCTAGTAGAAACAATCACTTTGGAGGTTGCCCAACCAGCCCCTATCTTTAAGATCAAGTTATGTTTTAGTTGCTTTTTTTTTTTTTGGAGACAAAATATCTGACACCCAAAGGTAAGGTAGGAAAGGTTTATTTAGGTCACAGCTTGTGGAGGCTTCAGCTCACAATCAGCTGGCTCCAAGGCAGGGTGGCACGGCAGAGGGGTAACAGGCCAAGGCAGTAGTAGACAGCAAAAGCTGGCTTTTTGCACAAGCAAAAAGGAAGGAATAATCCTCTTTTCCTCCCCTGTATTATAAGCAGGCTACCTGCCCTAGGGTGGGTGTAGCACCCACAGAATCTGTGGGCCCTCCACCTGCACAGGATGAAGATGTTTTACTAAGTGAGGACCCTGCCCCTGCTGAGTCCCTGAGTTAAACTTCCAAATTTCTCAGGTTGACACAATGTATCCACCATTATAGGTTACTTCAGCAATATGCCTCAGATCTCTTATCTATAAAATGAGAACAAAAACTGAGGAATAAATGAGTTAATATATGTGAATCACTTAGAACAATTCATGATTTGTTGTAATTAATGCTTGCTATATTTAATATGATAATCTCTTTTTTCCCATTAAACCAATAAACAGAAATGATAGATTTGAAGATTCCTACATGTAACTACACTAAGCATAACCTGAAGTACCTACAGCTTGTTAAAAGACATGGAGGGAAGAGTTTAACATCAAAATTAAATTTAAAAATTTAAAAAATCTCCTAAAGCAATCTTTATGGTCAAAGGGTGTAAGTACAGGCAAAACATCTTTATTCAGAAACAGAAAGGCTTCCAGCTAAATGTATTGTTTCATATCCTTTCAAAGGTCATTGTTTCTCCTTGTTTTTCAGCTCCATGAGCACAGCTGTGGGGCACACTATTGCTCATCGCTCAAGAGGTCTGTCACATGGAGGGCTGGGGAAAGTGCCTGTCACATGCAGGAGGTTGATGTGCCCTCTCAGTGCACACATCAGAGGGGTTATGGGAATGTTTTAAGCTACAGGTCACTGTATACCTGAGCTACCAAGCTACCAAGGCATGATCTACAGAACAGTACCATACTCTGAGCAATTATGTAATGTACAAAGAGGCTTAGCGCAGATTTGCTCTTATGATATACTTACTGTGAAAACTAGTTTTGTCACCCTGCCCAAATCTAACTACATGTGACCTCTTCGTTATTGCATCCCCAAAAGAAGAAGCAGTGGTGCATAGTTAGCAGAGCTTTGAGTGTTCAGCAGGTTACTGGCCCTGGGCTCCAGAAGTAGGTGGCAGTGCCCTAATCCCCAGTCTTCCCATATGGACTGCACAAGCAATAAACCTGAAGCGCCTGGATCAGACCTGTGGGCAGATGAGCATGAGTGGGAGGGTAGCTCAGACTCATCTCAGACATGCTGGACAGTCTTCTCACATGAGAGCTGCCTAGACATCCCCTAGCTATTCATTTTCTGCCTGCCATACAGCATTCCTCCCACTCACCCCCATCACAACCCCACAAACACTCCGCTGTGCCTGGGGCCCCACCTTTCCACCACCCAGAGGCTCTATGTCCTGCACCTTCACCAGTTCTCTTGCTGATGCTGACCTCCTCCAGCCTTCCCCAGAGCACCACAGGCACAGAGCACTTCACAGCTCACATCCTTTGGTATCCAGGGGTGGCACTGCTGGATGTACAGCCAAGACACTGCAGCACTTCCCTGCCTTTATTCCCCTGTGCTGTGTTTTAAAAGCCACTCAAATTTCTGCCTTTTGGGTCCACTACCTTCTGCTTTCCTCAGCAGGTTTACTGGCTTTTCACGCACTTCTTTTCCCTTCCAAAGGACTTGAGCCACCAGCTCACAAAATTCTCTGTCCCAGCCTTACAACCATTGTACCTTCAGGATCACAGCATCAGCCCATCACTAGATGCCTTAGTCACTTATCTCCCAGCCATTTATCACCAAATGTGCTTCTGCAGCTCTGCCCTGAGCTCCCCACTCCCACGGCTGGACCCTGGGTCTTAGCTCGCCACAAACCTTCAACCTCAAAAACTCAAAGTTGAGTATTGTACACTTAGCAGCCTGCCACTCAAGGCACCAGCCATTCTCTCCAATTTCAGCACATCTCTCCACCCTTCCAATTCTAACTTCCTCCCTGTGTTTTTTACTTCAAGTAACTAGTGTAGCTTGGGATCTGACATTTCATGTGCTCTGATGTTTAATTCTCTCATCTTGCTATCATTTGCCCTCAAAAAGGTAGTGAACAGACATTTCTTCCCTCCAGCTCACAATTTAAAATGTGCTCCTGCAGAGGGATCATTCAGTGTCCCATCAACTGGTGCTCTGCCACTGGGTGACTCTTTGGGGCTTTGTAATAGCACATTTTATAATTATATCTCTGCTTTGTAATTCCATATTACTCCTTGGTCTACCTGACTTTCAGAAGGTAGCACTTGGCCTTTCATAACTGTATCTATATGTCTTATTCCAGAAATTACTGCATGGTGGTCCTTAACTTTTACTTAACTAAGAAATAGAGTCAAAAGTACAACTTACAAGTCATACAAGAAGAAAAGTCAGTTCTCATTAATAGCTATCATGTAAAATAAGCAGCCAAGTGACACCAAAAGAATGTAAGAAATGATGAAAAGGGGCACTAGTTTTATATAAAATTTCAAAACCTGCCTGTCTAATTATATTACAATATAAATATGGGATATAAATTCACAAACAAAAATACTGAAAAAAAAAGAGCAAGGTCATTATAAATTAGCATTGCTGGGGCTGGGGAGATGGCTCAGTGGAATTAAGTGCTTCCTTGGCAAGCACAAGGGCCTGAGTTCAATCTCCAGTTCCACCAAAAAGAAAAAAGAAAAGCTCTCCTTACTGCGATGACAAAACCCCATCCTCAGCAACAACAAAATAAATTGCCATTGCTTTTCTTTGGTATATGAAGAATAATTATTAATTCAGAAATAGCTGATTATAAATGACCTAGAATTCAGTTAAGAATCCACCATGATGGCTGGGGATATAAGTCAGTGGCATAAGCAGCTGCCTGGCAAGTGCAAGGCCCTGAGTGCAATGCCCAGCACCAAAAAAGAAAGAAAGAAAGAAAGAAAGAGAGAGAGAGAGAGAGAGAGAGAGAGAGAGAGAGAGAGAGAGAGAGAAAGAAAATATATCATGAAATCATGACTAATGGGGTAGAAAGGGAGTGATAGAAAAATAAAATTAGAACTAATCCTCCTCTTTAAGTTCAGATGACACAATAAACTAGAATCAATTGTCCCTTTTACATCTATTTTTTGGTTGTTGTTTTTTAGGGAAGGGTCTACAGGGTGTTCAGGTTCTCACTACTAGATCGGACTCATACTGAGCCACCTGTTTATAGCCTCCCAAGAGCTGGGATTACAGATGTGTGCCACCATGCCCAGTCTCAATTGCTATCTCAGCATGCCCTGGGGACAGGGCTGTCATGGCAGGCCCAGGGATCAAACCCCCAGCCCCTGCGCCTGCTTGTAGGTGCTTTAATCCACTGAGCTGTTTGGCCAACCCCCCTTTTATATCTAGAAAACAAAATCCATTTATGTTTCAGGCAAAAAAGTACACAAATATCTGATAAGATAACCAAATTCCAAAAGGAGCTACCCAAGGAACTGAAAGGCATTTTCTTTACAAATTTAGGATCATTTATAAACACGGTTTTCATAAGTGCATTATCTGCATTTTCCATCCTCTACTCAATAAAAGCAGAAAGGGGAAAATAACAGCAAAAGTTAAAGTCAGCAATGTTTTTCAGCATAGAAACATGTTTACCTGCATGAGTTTGGTGTCGTGTCCAGTATAAACAACTATGCCAAAGACCCACTGAGTATTTCTAAGCTGTGTGCCTCGTAATAAGATCTGGTCAGGTCCAAGGGGAACAGGGCTAAAAATAAGAAACAATATTTATATTTAATGACAGTATCACAAATAAGCATGAGCTTGCCCTTAAACACAAATCCTCAATAAATCAAATACTTCCTTCAGTCAAACTTGAGCAGCAAAGATTAGATGTGGCTTATTCTACCAAAAGTGCCTATTTAACTACTGACCACCTTCATAAAAAGAAGCTTTTTTCTATAAAACGTTAAAGGGAATGGTAGCTCTTATGATTCTATTTCAAAACTCAATATTCCCAGAGGAAATTGCTAAACTAATAACCTGAATTTTATTCATTTAGGAAACCAAATATATTTCTTATTCTAGATAAGAAAAAAGAAAAGGCCAGAAGTATAAGCCTATCATATCAAATTTGCCAAGGATGACTTAATTTAGATAATTTGGAAGGTTAAAGTAGAGAACATATAAAATGGTTGAAGTAGAGAAAGTTAAAATAGAAAACATACTATATGACAGCCAAGACCCAGTTGCTCTTGACTATCCTAATTGTTTGGGTAGATTCTTATGGAGATTTACTCCCAAGCCATGGGCCTACTGGAAATATAAAGGACCCAGACAGGCTGTAGAAGACACAGATAAGAGGCATGCAGATAAAAGATAAGCAGCAGATAGAGACTGCACCCCAACATCATGATAAAAGATGACTCCGATGATAAAAACAAACACCAAGAGCCGAGACAACAGTGTAGACAACAGCACACTGAACACTCTATAGAAAGAGTTCCACTCACTTTACTCTGCCCTGCCAAAACAGAGCACTTGCCTAGCATGTGTGAGGCCCTGAGTCCCATTCTCAGCACCAAAAAATTAACAAATAATCAAACAAAAATGAAACAAATGCTATTCAGAAGAAATCATGTAAACAGGATATACTCTTTTACATGAAGTTGTGCACACCTCAGGCACCTCTCTCCCATTTTTCTGCACCATTTAATGCAGACTAAACCATTTGTCCTGCTTGAGAAAGACAGGTGAACCTCCTCTGAGGCTCATGGCTCTTTTCTTGTTAAATATCATTTCTTTCACCAAGCTTAAGCAAACTTTCAAATGGACTGAACTGGTGCTTCAAGAAAAGCTCTGTAGCCCAGAATTAAGCACACATGAAATCACACTGTTTTCAAATATTAGGAAAATAGAAAGCAAACTTATTTTCCAGTGCTCCAGCAATTTTTACTTATGCTAAAATAGTAGGGGAAAAAAGAAGAAAAGAAAGAGTGATACCTTTTCCCATCCAAGTTCAAGGTCCCAGTGAAGTCATAGAGGTGGCGATTGGGCCCTTCACATTCTATAGTTCCAGATAACTTCATTAGCACCTCCCTTGTCTGCATGTCAGCAGTATGGCTCAACCCCTAAAATGTGAAACAAAAAAAGAGAAACTCAAACACACACATTTGTGTGTTACAGACATCATTCAGCATTTTGTCCTAAGGACACAAAAAGCCATCTACAAAACAATAATTGGACAAATTAAATGACAACTCAAGATAGCCTTTGACACACTTTTTACTCCAATTATCTGATAAGAAAGTGGCAAAAGATTTCAATGGAGCAAAAAGTGAAGATTCTACCACAATGTTGGCAACCTCCTTTCGAAGTGACAGTTAACACACCCAAATGTTTGTAGAAATCACACACTACTAGCTGTCTCCTGTCACTGTAAGATGAAGTATCTCACTATTGCTCATTATCCAGCGCTTGTTAACCTTTTAAAAATCTTTAAAAGCATTATTCTAAGCATTTCCAAAACTCCATAAAAACAGAATAGCAAAACTAACCCTTATCAAAGCCTAAGTCAAATATCTCCAGAACACTGGGCCGGGAGATGGCCCAGTGGAATAAGCACTTCCCTGGCAAGTGCAAGGGCCTGAGTTCAATCCCCAGTTCCGAAAAAAAAAAAAAAAAAAAAAAAAAAAAAAAAACTCCAGAACAATATGTAGATAGGATTATTGAATTCAACTTTAATCCACCACAAATTGTATCAAAATGCCTAACACTTATACCCTTGAAGAATTATTCTTTATGCTAGAATAAAATATATGGTAAGGATACTTTTATTTCATGTATGGAAAATTTGTGTCTTACATATCGGTGCCACTCTCTAGAATAGACTCTCAGTTCCAAAAGTGTCACACATTGAGGTGCTGGGGGCTCACAGCCTTCATCTGCCGATAGAAATGGTGTTCTGTCCAGTCCCCAGCCCAGCACAACTGTGAAGCATCCTCTCTTCAGCAGTGCAGACTGAGAGGCAGCAAGACACACAGGAAGGCATGGCACCCTTGGGACCTGCACCTCAATAAAGCCCACCTTTTCTAGGTGCCTTGTCCCTCTGGACCAGTTCCCCTCATAATCACAGGCGCATTTTTCCATGGGTTCCAGCAGTGTTAAGGCCTAAGATTTTGTGAATGAACAATGTTTTCTCTGAAAGAGACACTGACTAACTCACAAAGGGACCACAGTTGCAACTTAGGCATCTATAACACCACGAGTCATAATCTTGGTGACTTTACCTGACGTATCTTAAGGTTTGTCTCCCCATCTAGATTAGCTGTTTCAACGTAACACATTGCCTGAGGTTCACTAAAGAGAGAAAAAGGGACAGGGGTTTAGGTGTCAGTGCAGTCCTCCTTTATAAATTTATAGCTCTTGAACTTTCTGCTATGGAAATATTCCCACTGATGGGCTTTTGAGAAGACAACACATTACAAACAGCCCCTTTCATAGTAGATTGAAGAGAAGAAAGAGACATACTTATCTTTGGAGCACAACAGTAATAACAAACCACTTGCACCAATGATCCATCTATTGCCTCCCCAAAAAATAATGATGACTTGGCCACAAGCAGACAGAAATGACCAGGGGAGAATTGGACGGGCTCAGCAAGCACTCTGCTATACCAGGTGTTTCAGATAAGACCCGACCACTGGGTTGAGGTTAGGTCCATACCAAAAAAGCTGCCCAAGCAAACCTAGGTGAAACACATCTTTCCTCACCTTTTTTTCTTTTTCTTTTTTTCTTTTTTTTTTTTTTTTTTTTGTGATACAGTGATTTGAACACAGGTACTTGCTCTACCACTTAAGTACATCCCCAATACTTTATTTTTTATTTCGAGACAGGGTCTCACTAATTTGCCATGTCTGGCTTCAAATTCTGAGGTGGTGATCCTCCCACTGCAGCATGCTGAGTGGCTGAGGATTAAAAGTATGTGCCACCAAACCCAGCCAAACACACCTTTGGAAGAAAGGTATAGCTGCAAAACTGAAGGATCAAGGCACAAACTTGGCAAGATTTTGCTCCCCTGCATTTATTACTGTGCCAAAAGGAAACTTTAATTAAAATATCAACTTTTAAGGACAAACTACTCAAAACTGAATAGAAATAAGCACCTCAGGCACCATATTCACACATCGATCTTTTAGTGTAGGGTCGCAAGCATAGGTGGTGGTTGGGAGAATGGGCTCTCCATCCACTGGCTAACAAAAATGCTTCTGCACTGCCTTGCGGGCTACACGGCCCTGGCAAGCTGTTGAACTGTGGCTCGGTGTTCTCACTCACTGAGGAAGGGTATCAAAGGTTGCTGGGGAGACTATCTGTGATAAAGGAGTCAGCAGGCTGCTCCACATGAAGTATGTACTCAGTTGCAAGGCACAGCCTGAAACTGTAACATCAAGCAAGCTCCAAGCTCTCCCACAGCAAAGCTATGATTTCTGAGGGTCACACACAAGACTCATAATCCAAACCACCAAGTGATTAATGTTTCTAAAAGTTTCTGTGCTACCAACCAACGTGGCCATACTTGAGCCTTGACCCATGTTTATAATGCTTTTCCCTTCTGACTTCGGGTTCTATTTAAAAAAAAAAAACTTTTATCTATAGTAGAAAACTAATGTTAAAGATTTAAATCTAATGAGGGATCAAATCTAATATGAGAAACACTGCCAGCAAGCTAAGAAAATGCAAGCAGCACAAGCACTTGCGGTTCTCAGCAGCATACAAATATAGGACATGGTAATGTTAACAGCATATAACTTAGTCTTAGACTCAAGAACTGAAGTTACTATCATCCAGACTTTGGTTTTCCTTCTTTGCTATGTACTTTTAAGCATCACCCCAAGAAGGACAACAGCTATGTTGTTTCATCATATACACCAGTGAGTGGCGATACCCTCCTTGCGCAAAATTAGAGAATATGGCAGTGGTAGTTGGGCAAAAAGGGTGAAACATGGAAAAATGGAGAGCAAACATATTTCAAGTCTTGTCTATGCTAAGAAAATGCATGTGGCTTTCTGAACTGCAGCTCAAGAGCAGCACTGGCTTGTGGGATGGACTATTGATTGACTCCACAAGAGCTCAGTGCCAAAGCCTCACACTGGACCCGACTGAGTGCACCACTCCACTCCTGTTGAAGCAGTGACTCTGTTGGTGAGGAACAGCCCAAAATGGTCATAAACTTACAGAGTTCAGAAAAAGAGAAAGAAAGCAGAGGGCCAAGCAGTAGAGAGAAATTCACAACAACATAGTTGATCATCCCTTATCCAAAATCCTTGGGATTTTTAGGTTTTTGGATAGGTTTGGATTTTTAAATATTTGTAGGGCATATTTGATGAGCATTCCTAATCGAAACTTTTGAAATCCAAGGTGTTCTAAAATTATGGTTAGTAAGGGACTCTCTGCTTGTAGTAGGAAGAGAAGATGGTGAGAGAAGGATGGTGACTCAGGGTAGAACAAAAAGGTGGCTCAAGATATCTGCAATTGTCACTTAACACTGTGTTGTTCTTAACATTCAATTCAAAAACCATGCCCACAAGCACATCTGACCTGGAGGAGAACAGGACCATATCTGCTGGAAGGTACTGGCCATTGAGGACTTTCACGATGTCTCCCACTGCCACCTAGAGAGCAGGAACCAGGACAGAGAAGGATGCAAGAAAGAGAGGCATAATGGGAGAAGAGTGGTTAAATACGTGAAGAAGAAAACTGCCACATAACTAAGCCATGCCTTAACAGGGACACAAAGGAAATGCTGCCCACATACATGACTTGTAATACAGCCAGAGCCTCCACATCTGCAAATCAACCTACTGGGGACTAAGAGAATTTGAGGGGTAAAAATGTGTCTGCACTGAACATGTGCAGATGTTTTTCTCATCACTGGTCCCCAACAATACAGGGCAATATCATTTACATAGCAGTTACAATGTTCAATGGTGGTATTACAAAGTCTTGTAGAGAGCAAAGTCCATGGGGGAAATAAAGATATTCTATGTAAATGCTACACTATTTTATACAAGGACTTTAGCATCTGTGAGGCATCCTGAAACAATCCCAAGGATGCTGAAGGAAAAGTCTATTGTCTTTTTGCAACAATGTTTCATGAAAAAGAAATAAAGGAAAGGGAGAAAGGATAAGTCCAAACAACTACAGGTACAAAGACAGCATTTTCTTAGAATTATCTATCTACAGTTGCTCAAACGGCCCCATGGCTGCACATGGTGGGGTTGAGCAGTCATTCATGCAGCTCTGGAGACAGCCTAGGTTCCTGGGCTTGAGCCCCCATTATACCCATAACTAGCTGTGTGACCAGAGAGTTGGGGAAAGTGAGTGTGCCTTATTTTCCTCATCTACATGCTGAGGATAATGTCATATATTCCATGAGATTACTTGGAGGATCAACTGAAGGATGAATACATATGCATTTTTTCTGTTTTACAAATGGCAAAACTGAAGTTCAAAATAAAATAACTTGACCAAGATTATATAGCTAGAGTGTTAAAACTAAACCAGTCTGACAGGAAGGCTGAACATGTATGAAAAGGTATGACCACTTTTGTTCATGAGCAGGACATCTAAGAGGCCTCCTGGGAATGCACCACATGACAGAGAGAAGATGCACATTCTCAAGGCATTATCAAAAGAGAAAGTTATGGCCAAAGTCAAAGATCAACTTTAAAAACAAATTCTATTTGAGAGAAGACCACAAGCCAAGGAAACAGCAGTTTCCAAACAGCACCACGACTGTGTCTCCAAGTTTTTCCAATAATGTTGCTTTAGAGAAAAATAAAGGCTTCACTCCAATGAGCTTAAAATCACATCCTTGCTTCACAAACACAAAAAAAGCATCTGATGTCCGCAAGTTCTTTCACTGTTCAGAGACCAGCATTCTCAACAATATTTTTTAAGTAATGAAGATCAAACACTGGGACCATCTACCACCAAGCCACCTTCCCAAAACTTTTTATTTTATTTAGAAATGAGATCTCAACAAATTTCCTGGGCTCATCGTAGTCTTGTGATCCTCTTGCCTCAGCATCCTAAGTGGCTGGGATATAATCATGTACTACCATGCTGACCCTAACCCCTCTCTTCTGAAATGGGAAAACAATACTATTGGTCCATAAAATTCATGCTATGACTAAGGAAGCATATGCAGCACCTGGCATCTTCACCCCCTGTGTGTCTTTGTCACTCTTTGTCATCTGTACATAGTACCTGACACCCACAACTTACAGGAGAGGAGGTTTACTTTGGCTCATGGTCAGCTGGCTCTACAGGAAGTGCCTGGCTAGGGGTGCAGTGGAGGAAAGGCTGCTCACTTCATGGTAGCCAGAAAGCAGAGAGAGCAAAGAGGCAGAAAAAAGGAACACACCCTTCCAGGTCACACCCCAATGACCCGCCTCTTCCAATCAGACTCCATCTCCTGACAGCAAGTTGGCTATAGGCCCACAATCCAATCACTTTCCCAAAGCCCTGCCTATAAGTAAATGAGATTCTTCAGGGGCATCTAGATATAAGCCAAAATGAGGTCTGTAACTGTGGGCTTCCTCAGAGTGAGCAACGGAATGGACACTATCAATGTGGATATCAAGGACATCAGAAATCTCTCGTGACACATGGAGAAAGACTATTCCTAATGACAACTGCAAAGCACAAAATGAGCACTTAATGCTTTATGAGTCCCATTCTAACCATATTCTTATTCTCTTAGAATCCAAGAATTTCAAGTAATACAATACTCATAAAAACTCCTGTATCTTCTGGTTTATATACAGCAGCAGGTGCTCAGGTTCATTTTCTGTTGGAAACTGAATTCAATGGTGAAGCACTTCCACAACATGCACAAGGCTCTGGGTTTCATCCTCAGCACTGCAAAAACAAGCTTGTAGGCAGGCAAACACACTAATTTTCTTTTGGGAAAAGAGAGGCATCCTGGTAGTGCTGTGGATTGCTTATGATAAAGTATATATGAATATCAAATAACTGGGTTCAACACAGGGAGAGGCAGTAAAAATTCAATTCCAGGAAGAGTGTGCATTTGAAGTTAGCACTCAGCGCAAAGGCACAAGTTAGCATCCAATTTAAGGCAAAAAGCATGCAATTATAGAATATCCTATAATAAGAGAAGTTAAGAAGAAATGTTACAGAACCATTTTAACAATCACCAGTACAAAAGCAAGGAATACTTATGTAAATTGAATGTTTACAAAGTAAAATATTTTACATCAACAGTTTCATTACACAGAAATATCAGTAGAAGCAATTAATACAAAAAGCACTAGAAGGGCTGGCCAGATAGCTCAACAGACTAAAGCACCTGCTCAGGCAGAGGGCAGCAGCTGGGGTTCTAGCCCTGATGTGCCCTGCCAGCCCCACCCCCAGGACACGCTGAGAAGGTGATTGAGACTGGGCGTGGTGGCGCATGCCTATAATCCCAGCTCTTGAGAGACTAAAAAGAAGAGAATTAGTACAAATCTATGTAGTTAGACCCTGTAGACCCTGTAATAATAAAAAAAAACTAGAAAAATTAGTCTTGTTTTCAAAAAAATATTTTTTGCCTCTAATTCAAAGTAGGAGGAAAAGGGAAATTATGGCTTTCTCTTGTCTTTACTCTCTAAATAAAGAAAACACTTATATCCCAGTAACCAAATACTAAGAGCTTTCATGTTCATGAGGAACTACTTGGATTCTGTTTCTATCTGATGTACTTACATGGGTCCAAATCCTCTGCAGCCTCTGGAAGACCCTCAAATCTCTTCACAGTGAAGCAGCTGGGAAGAACTCTCAGAGTCCATCAAAGCCACTGAGAGATACCTAAGGATGCCTTCTCAGCTCACCAGCTGGTGAGTCACAGCCCAGGGATATGTCACTAGAACCTGTTACCCCTCTTCTCCTACATCCTCACCTTCTCACTGAAGCCTCTCAGTGGCACATTGTGCCTGGCTGGCTGACCTCCTCATGAGACCACCCTATACCCTGAACAACACCTCATCAGTGAGGCTTCTCCTGAGCCACATCTGTATGTCTAGACAAATGACCTAGGGCATCCTCCAAGACTCAGCAGGTGCCCTGTACTACGACTAGCTGCCTGTCTCTTTGGCTACACTGGCTCTTGAGTATGCACCCAGACCACCTGCAGTAGCTCAGTGCATCTGAAACTCTAGGTTGGGGCCCATCTGTTTCTGACCAGCCCCTGGCAGACTGGGGTACCTGCCAAAGCTTAAGGACTGCTACACACCAAGGCTCTGGAAGGGCAGGGGCATGTCCTAGTCCGAATTCCAGGACTGGAGCAGCCTGGCAACTAAGAGCTCTGTTGAAACAAGCACACAAAATGCATTTTTAAGTTGAAACAAAAATGCTTGTGATTGGGCACATAACAGGTGTAGTGCTGCTGCTACTGCTGCTGCTGCTGCTGCTGCTGCTGCTGCTGCTGCTGCTGCTGCTGCTGCTGCTGCTGCTGCTGCTGCTGCTGGTGTTTTTCTCCCAGATGTGTGTCAGAAGCAGTAGAGTCTTCAAGGCCATCAACTCCTGTACCCAGAAATCAGCGACCATCACTCCATCTCCTGATGTCTACAGGCATGTCTGGAACTGTGGGTCTAAATCTATCTCCACACTGGCTAATGCTCATGCTTTTCTGGTGATGGACAGGAAAGAGAATCCCAAAGAAAATGGAGGGGACAATGGCCCAGGGCCAAAGGAATCTTTAACTCTCTCCAGCCCTGGCAGTGTTTCTCCCCCAGGGAATTAAGAATACTTAACCTCCTGACCAAGAACCACCACTTTTCACTTCCAAAGAGGCTAAAGAACAGCTACAGTACAGGACTTCTAGATGGCAAGGTGTTATAACAAAAATACCAATAAAGGGGAAACTTCTTTAAAAGTAGATGGTTCTCCTGAAGTAAACCAAATTATTTCAGTAAATCACTTTAGTAAATGAGCACGTATCTTATCACATAAATATTTTTCAGATATAAAATGTCCTGAGGACATTTTTTAAAAAGAGTTTGCTAAATTTTATGAAGAAAAACTAATGTGCTCTTCAAAACAGTTGTTTTCTCTTGAAATCATCAGTTTGAACATGGAACCAATGAAGGTGCATCCTAAGGAACATCCCACTGAAAAGGTCCAGTTAGCTGGGCATGATGGAGCACACCCATAATCCCAGCACTTGGAAGGCTGAGGCAAGACGATCGCTGTGAGTTTGAGTCCAGCCTGGGCTACAAAGTGAGTTCAAAGTCAATCTGAACTGCATAGTGAAACCCTGTCTCAAAACTACCAAAAAAGAGAAGGTCCGGGTAAATCAGACTCATTTATAAACTAATTTTATCAAATTAAAAAACACCAAGATGCCACAACAGATTCCTCATAAATTTTCTGTGCTTCACGAACACAACCAAAGCACAACACTAGTCTCGAGCCAACACATATCATTCCTCCAGCCACAAAGGAGAACATGTTTCTTGCTACTGTAATGTTAACAGCAGTTACTACAAGGGGTGATGGAAAGACACAGTGCCCATTTAAATAAAACATTATAGTGAGAGAGAGAGAGAGAGAGAGAGAGAGAAAGAGAGAGAGAGAGAGAGAGAGAAAGAAGAAAGAAAGAAAGAAAACAGTGTGAAAAATAATGGGATCAGGTTTTCAAAGTATTTTGAGCATTTTAAATAAGATTAATTGGCAATGTGTCTTCTACACTTTAAATTTAAGACTTCATCACATTTTTGGTCACTCTTCATGGATCAAATATTAATGGCAAATTCTATCAAAAAGAAACATCTGATGTGCCCTTCATCCAATTTATTCATTGAATCTGGCACCACACAACTTCTGGATCTTCCCCCACATTAAAATGACCATAAAAGGTAAACATTCTGAATTGCTTCAGGACATTGAGGCAGCCAGGACAGAACAACTAAAAACACACCGAAAGAAGGACTTCCAGAACTGCTTCTGAAAGTTTCACAATGAGGTAAGTCTGTCTGAAGCCACCAGAAGTGCTTTGAGATGGGATTAACTACAATACGTCTTCTACTGCGATGACTTTTTAAAATTTAGACATTCACCATTGTTTTGGTCATACCTCAAATTGGCCATGTTCAGTTCCCCCCTACCTCAAAAGCTGAAGTGACAGCATTTCCCACCCAAGCTCTGTTTAGAGATCATTTTGCCACTAAAAATATTAGAAGGGAAAACCTCAAATATACCTATACACAATATATATGTATAGTGTGTGTGTATATATATATATACATATACATATACATATATATATGTAAACAGCTCTGAGTATCAGACTTTAGATGAAGAGCACAATGGAAGAGCAAATTGGATTTAGGAATTAGAAGCTGCTTTGAGGTTAAGAACTATTCAGCGAAAGCAATAAAGGCCACAGCCCGGCCTGCTGCTGTGGGTACATTCTACAACCAGCCAGGCGCAGAGGAAACACAGTCAGCTCTAGGCAGATCTCATAGAAAACCGCATGCAGCAAGAGAACACCAGGGCCTTAATGCAAGCTTTATACTGCAATTAACAGCAGCAGTCCATTGTTGGCCTCCAAACCAACACTTTCTGTTATTATCTTTAAAATTAGTTTTTACCTCTTTCCACACAATGGTATGCCACATACCATTTCTTAACACTGAAACAGAAAAAAAAAGTGCTGGTTAATACTGGGGATAAGATTTTTTTTAAAAGTCAGCTATTTTAAAAGCCCAAAAGATTCGTTGTAAATTTCCACTTATTAATTCTAACATGTACATTTTACAAAGAGGTATAACACCACCAACCTCCCATAGGAGCCCAAATCAATGTATCTCTGCAGCATATTAACAGATTATATATATATATATATATAATCTACATTAACTTTTTTTAAAATCCTGATGTCAAATAATTATAACAATAATAACAGTGCTGAAGTAAAAACCAAAACAGTAACAAATCAGAAAAGGTAGAGAGAGATTATAAACCAATAATAGGAATGTTTGAGCATTTTATGTACACAACAACTGTCTAATTCCTAAAAAGTACAACCTTCTAAAATCCTAAAATACACAAATCCTGTTCAAATCTTAATTATCAGGATTAACATTTTGTTTATTATTTTACCATTTCTTTCAAGTATTTTTCAGGTTGTTTTTTCAATGTATGTCAATACCATTAACAATTTACTCTGAACTCTTTAGAGGCAGGCACTATTGTTGTCTATAGTGGAAAAAATGAGTGAGCTGGGTATCTTACCTATGGTTTTCTTTTTGTTAACTGCATTGTCTGCCTTATGTCGTTTCTGTGACAGAAAGAAAAAAAATGGTTCCATCTTACATTCAAAAGTCCCAAATGAATAATTAAGATATCAAACAATAAGCAAAGAAACTCACTGTCCTCCTTAACTAATTGACAGGAAAGGGTAGGCAAGAGGGTGACAAAAAGAATTAAGACATGTTATGTGCATGCACCAGCTCCACACACAGAATGTGGACATTCTGTACTGGGAACAAGCTAGAAGAATGATTTGATATAATAAATCCAAAACCAAATAAGTGATTGCATTTTCAATTTGCATTAACTTATTTATCTGTTCCCAAAAGATGTCATACATGTAGGACAGCAAGTGTGTGTGTGTGTGTGTGTGTGTGTGTGTGTGTGTGTGTGTGTGTAGACAGACACAGAAAGGGACAGGGACGGAAAGAAACAGAGACAGACACAGAGAGAGACAGAAAGACAGCAAGAGACAGAGAAAAAGAGACACAGAGAGACAGAAAGAGAAGAGTGGAGAAGGGAGAAAAGGACATAGGTTTAGCCAAGGAACTTGGAGCTAGCCCAGGGTCTGAGTGAGCAGAAAGAGTCTTATAAAATGACCTCAGGCATAGCTAGCACACTGCTGCTATCTAGACAGTACTGTAAGCTTTCACTTGCTTTCTCTATTAGAGGCTCTACAGTAAGATACAAGAAACAACAGTGATAGACATCAGAGTGGGTCCAGAGAACAAAATGAGAACTGCTTCAGATCTCTATGTAAGTATAAGACACTCTGAATACACTCCCTCCCCCAAATTTCCATCATCAGTCTAGGGCTAGTTTAGCTAAAGTCTGATTTCCTATTTTTGGCATATCACTGAAAGCAACGTATGCATTAAACGTTACATTTGATATAATACTTTTATTATCCACAAGCAAAAACTTACAAAATCTTCTACAATCTCTTTGATGCCTGCAATTGTTAAAATAATGATCAATGGCACCAGGGTGGTGTATCTTCCTGTTGGAGACACGTCTGGAATTTGCTGCAAGAGATCACAAGAAGGACGCTGGCACATCAAAGTCCTCTCCGTGAAAAAGAAAACAGCACATGGCACTCACTCTTGCAAAGTTCTGTTCCACTTGTTACACACAAATACTTATTTTTTAAAGTGGTCACATACTAGACATGTTTTTAAAAATTATCCAATATTGACAACATGTTTGGAATAGAAAAGGAGTTAAACATACAACCATCAAGCATCATTTTCCACCTTAAGGCAATATGAAAAAGTCTCTCTGAATACAAAGATGGTGTTCGTTGTACTATGTATGACTGGAAAACAAACTATGCAAATCTTTTAACATTTCTTTTAGCTAAACAAGCTGCCAGCAAAATCTCACTGTGCATGTCACTAAGGTGAGAATGTTGCATAATCTGAAAAGCATTACCTGTAATAAGGCAATGAAGAGGAAGAAGGCATTAGCAGCTCTTCTAATCTGCTCATACAAGAATCGAGGTAGAAATGTCAACACACTGTACTTGGCGGTACTGTAAGTGCAAAGAAAAGTAGCACTATTAGTTATACAAGGGAACCCTACAAAATGAGAACAAACAAAAACCTTTAAAAACTTTACAATTAGTTTTTAAGACAAAATGTTTCAAAACTCAGAACCAGGAAATCTCTATGCCTGACACCTCTTTCTGCAGAGCTGCATCTTGGAGGTGGGCTGACCTGATCAGAGGGTTCTCTTTCCGTGTAGTGTAAGCAGGGACGTTACCTCATCTGGATGTCTGAGCTACAAACAACCCACGTGGGCACGACAGTTCAACATGTGATTTTGGAGAAGTACCACTGATATCTTGTTTTGCTTTGTGTAGTGCTGGGGAAGGGACCCAGCTGGCTTGGATACTAGTAAAAGGCTCTCCTTCTGAGCTACATCCCCAGAACTTTTTATTTTTTATTTTAAGACACAATATTACTAAGTTGCTCAGGCTGGCCTCAAACTTGTGACTCTCCTACTACAGCCTTCCAAATGCTGGGATTCAAATGTGTGCTGCTATGTCCAACGACCACTGATGTTTAATACTTCAACCGCACCCAGATAATCCCATGCCCTCCATACACCTTTAAGTTGATCACCTTTGCTCGATTTTGCTTTGCTTTAAATGTCCTTTCCCTTCCACTCTGCATGTCTCCTCATGTGCAAACTGTCCTTCCCAGATCACCCTTCCATATCTTGTCTCCCATTAAATTTGGTCAAATGTATGACAGCTCTTCTTCCTTCAAGCCACAGTTTGGTAACCAGGCCTATATGACAGAGTCTTTACTTTGATCTGTGTTATATAGTTAACCCTCCATGTCTATAGGTTCGGCATTCATAGATTCCAGCAAATATTTGTGAATCAAAAATATTTGGAAAAAAAAGGAAATTGTACCCAAACTGAACTTGTAGACCCTTTGCTTTGTCATTATTTCCTAAACAACAGTACAACAACTATTTGCATAGCATTTGTACTGTATTAGGCATTATGAATAATCCAGAGATTTAAATTATACAGGAGGATGTATATGGGTTTTGTTTAAGTGCTCAGGATTTAAACAACCTTGGATTAAGGAATGTATACCAGGTCCTGGAAGTGACCCATCCAACACTCTGAGAACTCATTCTATCTATTTCCTTATGCACAGAACAGTTATGGGAAAGCAAGAATGTTCACTTCAATTCCATATGCTCCTAGTACATCAAACATAGTAATCAATGAGTAATAAAATACATCAAATACACAAACTGAAAACCGTATGGGGCAAAATGAACCACAGGCTGCTCCCAGAATTACTGACGTACAATACCTCCTTAATTCCTAGCTTACTCTCAGAAGACAGGACTCAGCCTTATCTTAAATGAAATATATTCCTACAGGATTGTCTTGTACATTCCAAGTATACAGTAAACTGGACGCACTGAAACAGAAGGATAAAAGACTCAAGAGAAAGCACGTGCCCGAGGCCTGCATACTGCTGTAAGACATGACAGCAAGCGGGCATGGAAAGACAAAGTAAAACCAAAGCTGACAACTTAAAAAAGACAAGCGTCCAAGGTCATTTCACGGAGCCAGAAGGATCCCCACACAGCATTACTGCTGCCGCCTCAGAGAAGATCACCCCGTTACACAACAGCCCAGTACTCACAAGACACATGGTCTGAACTGTCCTTAAAGGCGAAAGTACTACTCCTTCTACCTAGGTGCTGAAGGCCTCTGATAAATTATAAGAAAACCACTTTCAAAACAATTCAAACTTTTTAAAAAACATGCTATTTAGTGATATGTCACTAAATTAGATAGAAAATTTGCTTACACAGAGCCTCTCTTTGTGTTGTCCAATAAATGTGCCAGGATATTTTTCTGAGAGTCTACCAGAAAGAATAAATTATCTCACAATAGACTCACTAAAGAGTAGGGAAAATATATCAAACTTATATACATGATAGTTCCTGGTATAAAAGTCTTACTACAAAATAGAGGACAAATTCAAATGGATCATTACTTGTTCCTTTAATGGCAGTACTGATCACTGAAACAATGCAACCAATAGTTATCAACAAAGGAAACACAAATGTCCACACACTAAGAATGTGGAAAGTACCTGTTAAGATACTTGCAAGACAATTTGCCTGCAACATTTTAAAAGTTTAATCTTGTGCTACAAGATTTCTTATAGCATACAATGAACCAACCATTATACCAGAGCAAGAAAATCTGTATCATTAAATGAGGAAATAAAAAAACTTTCCAAAAAAATAGTGTGTTCACCCCATAAAGAAGTCACCCCCAAAAGATTCCTACCCATGCAGGAATCACTGTGCTAAGCTCCTACACAGCTGTTTGAGCAAGGAAGGGTTGGCTGCTGCATGTGTGCCAAGCACTGGCAATCATTTGGGCCTGAGAACTAGGAAGCATTAACCTGAGAAACAGACGTGCCCTGTGGCTTATCTGGTCTCAACTTAAACATCTATTAGATTCACTGATGATGTGAAGAATGACAAGGATTGTCAAAACTCCATCCATCCAACTAACCATCTACCCTCCATCCATCCATCCATCCATCCATCCATCCATCCATCCATCCACATTTCCAGCCACCCATTTATTCATCCATCCATCTATCCAACCACACATCCAACTATCCAACTATCTATACTTCCATCCTTCTATCCAAATAAACATCCTTCAGTGTATATTTGCTGAGCCCCAACTACCCATTAAGCATAGTTACGCTGAGTAGCAGGCTCTGGGACACCACAGTTAAATGAGTGCTCAAACATCATGTCAAGGGGACACTGTTTTTAGAGTGAAGAAATTAGATTAAAATTAAATAAAAACAGATGGGACAGCTGGTGATAAATGCCATGAGGGGAAGCATAGGATGGAAAGAGGACAGAGCAGGACACCCTGGCTAGGTGGGGAGGGAGATTATTTTCAGAAGAGTGACCTGGGAAAGCTTCACTGAGAAGGGGCTTTGGGAGCTAAGCCTTAACCTAAGCCATTTCCTTTTGGTCCTGGAAATACTCACAAGGCTTTTGGCTTCAGTGTTTGCTCCAAAACAACACACAGATTAAAGTCTTATACTTACCCCCAAAGTTTGTCATGCAGTAGCTCATGTTTATTATTTTGGCATATCATATATCGTAATAGTCTTGAAAACAAACACATCATTCTAGTCATATGAGTACGTTTTTATTTTTTTTTTAAATGTATCAGGTATTTAATTAGGTTCTTAGTAAGAAATTTAGAACACTAATTTATGAGGGTAAATTCCATTTGTCAGAGCAAAAACGGATCGCAGGTAGCCCCGGAGCTGAGGAACACCTTTGATTTTTGCCAAAATCTGTGAGTCCACCGCTTTCTGATCCACCTT